AATATGAAACATTTGCATGTACTACTGTAATAAATACTGGATAGTAAATGCAACGTAATTTAAAGAAGCATAGAGCAGGAAGCGAATTCGCGTCGCCGGGTTGGTAGCGCAGCGTGCTAACCGTTGCACTACTGCTACCCACACAAACACACACGGGGGCACAACGAGAAAGACAAAGACCCCCCGCATAGCCTTAACAGACTGTTGGGGCAAGTGCTGTTAGCGAGCACCTATGAAGGCCAGAAAGGCACACGAGTGGTTGGGTGGCCAGTACCACGCCAAACCGCCTTTGTCTCTCTAGGGGCGATGTTTTAATGCATTGCAACAGATACTCATTTTAAGCTGAATCGTCCTAGTGGAGGCCTAGGACCGGTTAAAATAATCACGGATGTTGGCCATGAGCTGAAATCGAACTCGGGTAGCCAGGTTGGTAGCGCAGCGCGCTAACCACTACACTATCGCTCCCCCCATACTCACGGGGGCACACGCATGCACGCACACACACAAACACGTGTGCGCTCACATTCACAAACGCTCACAGCGGGTTGCTGTGACTCATTAACATCTCGCGGAGGATCGCTCCCGGTGAACACAAGAGTTCCGCGGTTCAGTTCGCAAGCGCGAGTTCACGTTTACAAGTGGATGTTTTATTAAAGAGTAACGTAAGCTGCTTCGTAAGTGCGGATGTTCGTAAATTGAGGTGTTCATGAGTCGAGGGTGGCCTGTACTTACCAGTCAGTTGTAGAGTACCTCCGATTAGAACGGTTGGATTACGTACAGTGCGAAAGAAGTTAAACATGCATTCATACAGAGAGCATGCTAAGTTTATTGCATAGAAGCAGTGGCACAGTTTAGAGTACAGTATGCAGTCGTATTACAGCACAATCACTATGTGATCACAATGGAGGATGGTGGACGTCTTTCAATCGAGGCTCCCGTTAGCGACGCCACTCGACAGCGTCCTGAAGCTTCCGTTAACAACGGATCTGTGAGAAGGGCATGGCAAGCCATTTCGGTCTGCTTTTGAAAGCAGACCGAAATGGATATGTGGCGCCGTCCTCTGGGGCCCACCATGCGCAGGACGAAGGGTGATGGGCGGGTGCGATGCCAGTACGGTAGGGAGAGGGATGGTCTCAGATGGACTCGACCTTGCCGATGGACACTCGCTATTGGGAGGTGGAATGTCACTTCACTGGGAAGAGGGAGGTGGGAAGGAGCCACAGTTGGGTTTGGTGGAGGAGGTGGAAACGTCCCGACATAAGGACGATTTTGAAGGCAGCTGCGGGAGGGGGGGGGCTCCAAGGGATTTTCCATGCCAAGCTGCTCGGGATGAAAAGCGCATCGCACCACCCCCGACGTGTGTCACCCGTCACACAGGCCAACATAGTGCGATAACCACTGGGCCACCACTCCGCCACGCGGGGTCGCGCAAGCCCTACAAATACCCCTAGATATGGGCGCGTTCACGGAGGTGTCGAGACGCACACACTTCTTCAAGACTATGGACACCACACGACAATTTTTCCAACTGGTTTCATTGCACAGCACCCTCTTAACCACTGAGGTTATTAAGGATTAGCTGGGGCTGCCCGAGAGCGTGCGAGTTTGGAAAGAGCCCTTCCTGCCACTTTCTATTCACTCACTAAGCCGGACGTACTCACTCGTTCTCCATACCTGGCACCACTCGCGTCTCTCGGACGTTGGTGGTCGGCGATGAAGAACCGTACTCCTCGCCTGACATCAGGAATTGGGAACGGTCCTCCCTCCTCCATTTTGCGGTTCTTATAACCTCACATCTAAAGGCTTCGGGGCCCGGGATCTCTGCACAGTGAATTGTGTGCTTACCTGCGTCTGTAAATAATTCCTGCCTCCCATTGTTTTCCTTCTCCCGCCCGGCCGCTTTGCCCCCCCCACTCCCCAGCGCTATCTCTGGGGGGTCACTGAGGCATGAGTGACAAGGGAGGAGCCCCGTAGAAAGAGAGATGGGAGGGGAGGAGCCATGAGGAGGGAGGAGAGCCACTTGGTGGAGAGAAGACACGACTGCTTCAGAGCCACTGTCATTTTAATGGAATACAGCAGAAAAGGGGAGACAGGCAGCGCTGTGGTAACAATAAGAGCAAACTGCGATGGAATCACCGATGCTTGCTGATGTTAGCCAATCAAATAAAACTGTGGCGTGTCATGCAAATATTCTATTCTAAGTATAGCTTGCCAATAAATTGATTGCCAAATGAATCGGATTGCCAATGAATCGACATTTTCAAGCTGGCTACCCAATCAACATTGAGCTGGCTACCGGATCGACTGAGCTGAATTGATATAAATTTAACTTCGATTCACGATTCACAATGACCATATATGGACAAAGACACGCCCCATTAGGCCAACATCGTGTTCTCCTTCCCTGGGTTATGGAAGACCCAACTTATGGAAATTCGACTTCATGGAAATGCTCCCATAAATCATGTAGAAAAAAATAAATAATGTATGCTTAAATGTTTGCATTAGTTGCATAAGTGGAAATAGTGCGGCACGGTAAGGTTGCAAATGAATACAGCGGAGTGAGGCATAAGGTGGGCCCCATATTCCCCAAGGGGAATGCAGTGTTTTGTGCAGTGTCCTGGATAGCACTCTGAGTCACGCCGTTACATTTGTTGTACAGTAGCTGCTACTGCAGGTGGGCAATTAGCGCACACGCCGCTGAGCATATACGGCGGGTGTGCCGGCAGGGCAAGGGTCACGGTAGATAGACCTCGTGGGGAAGCCCCTGGAACCCTCTGGTGGGTTCGAGAAGGGATAGGAGGCGCGGCTCGGGGGAAGCCAAGCTGCGCCGAAGGGAATAAAAGCAGCGGTGAGCGAGCGCTCCGGGCTGCCGGTTCTGGGAGTGGACTCATCTCGTTGTCCCTGTCGTCATCGCTGCCTTCATCACTGTCGTCGTCGCTGCCCTCGTCGCTGCCGCCTTCGCCCGATCATTGGGCGGCCGGACAGTAGTTGGCTGTCTCGGTCGACGCCATCGGTGCAACGTGGACAGGGTCGTGTCTGGACCGGGTCGTGCGGCAGCGTGGTCGCGAGAGAGGGAGCTGGAGACCGGTGCCTCCTGCGACTACCTCGTCTCTGACTGTGTGTGCGATGCACGCCACCCGTACACACACACAAGCCTCGAGCAGAAGGATGAAGGGACCTCCGACACTACACATTGTTACCATGAGTATATTTTCCTTTTGTAGTATTGCGTAATTGTTTTCTATGCTTTGTGGTATTCAAAAACAATTGGGCACAGTACAATATATGTTCCATTAGTTTAATTATGGTTCTTGTTATGGGTAAGTTCAGAGCGTATGTACAGCAACAATGCAGTACTCAGAAAAAACGGTAGGAGAGGCACAACTATTTCCCGACATGGGGTTTTATCTTGAGTTTGGGGAAAATTGTTCAGCTTCCAACATACAGAAAATTCGGGTTACGGATATGTCACGGGAACCTAACCCTTCCGTGACCCAGGCACTGACTGTATATGGAAGGCAAATCTCTGATCGGGTGATTTCGTTGTCTGATTTCGTCTCTCTATTACAGCGCCCATAGGAGCTGCAGCCTGACTCCACGTGGAAACCTGCTCCTTCGCCTGGAAAGAGCGCGGGGGTTTGTTTGCAGTGCTACAAAGAGGATGATCCCGGGTCTGCACGAACTCTGCTGAGCCTGTCGGTTCCGATAAAGTCATGGTTGGGAGTGTGGTTGATGAAGACTATACTCTTACATAGGTGGGGAATGACGTGGTCAAATATTGTGGAGTCAGAAAAAGACAGACACAGGAGCGGGTTTAAAAACATATTTATTGTTTTGTATTATACAGGTGGGAGCACATTGAGCCGTGCATCAGGACCATAGTCATTAAACGCTTTTGGCTTTTGGCTCAGCCATCAAACAAAAGACGGTCACTGCATCACACGCTTTCAGGTGCGCTTCTGCAGCCATCTGGAAAGTTCCGATATTAGGAAGCCGCTGCGAGCTATCCACTTTTAAATCATCATCTAGATCGATAACTCATTTATTTTAAACTGATGTTTGTGCTTAGTTGTCCTTGACCCACACCTCAAATTAGCAAAGTTGGCTACATATGGCGCGAAAGAAGTTCAACATACAGTACGTACATACGGTTAGATATTGAAACACGTAAATACTTTTGGTGAAACAGGATCGATCACCTTGTTTAGTAACTGTGTGGATTTTGAAACGACTACTTAGTTATTTTCTTAATTAATACAAGCGGCGCCATTGCTCTCTATTGTCCGTCATTCTGCCCTTTCACTACTCCCAATGAAAATGTGTATTTTGTTGTACATTTTAATTGAGTAGTGTCTTGGAACAAAAACATAATAAGCCACAAGATGTCATAGTCTATAAATCAGGGTTCGATTGAAAATTTAGCCCATTAAGTGAATGAAAGATTTTCATTTCGGAAGAAAAATTTCCTCATTTAATTTTGATTGCGTACTCAGGAAAGCCTCACTGAGTCTCCGTGCTGTTTTCCGCGAGAGTCCCGCCAAATTTTGGTAGAAGCAGTCGATGTTGCTCGATGCGATCTCAAGTGAGAATGTTTTTTTTGCTGGCCAATTCCAGTCACGTGGCACGTTCCTCTGGCTGGCGAGATGCAAAACTCACCGAGAGGAAACCCAGACAGAGCAGGGGGGGGGCATGCAGAGTCGACAGAGGAAATCACCCAAGTGGGGAATTAAACCCAGACCCTTCCTGCACAAGGCACGCAACTTACCACTGCCACCACTTCACCACCCAGTCTGACCAAATGCACGATATCTCTGGTTTCAGAGTACAATAATCACGTAAACTAGAAGTGTCACAAGTGGATTATAAAGTCATCCAATGACAGAAAATATATATTCGTCTACAAAACTGGGTTATGAGGTTTTACAGAATGCCTTAACAGCTATTTAAATGGGCTCCTCCAGGGCTGCTTAAATAACTGCTTATGGTGGTGGGGTGTTTCACATCTTGGAGAAGTCCGAAGTTCGTCTGGACGGGTGACCGGGCTCCTTGCGTCCCCATTTACCCCGACCCTGGACTCGCGTCGGCTCGAGGCTGTCGTAAAGAACCTCCCTGTGGCCCAGCGCCTCGTACTGTGCAGACACAAAACACCACATTCGCATGGTCAGTAGCAGCAGCTGTCAATGAGACTCGCAGAGAATTACAAGAAATCATTCAGGGTGCATGGCAGACAACGTTGCTGTATCAATACCTTCCACTCCAGCAAGCAAATAGTCCACTCTCAACACCACCACTCAACCTATTCTAACTCCTATTTTATATTGACCAGGTAAGGCCCAATGAGCTGTGTAGCTCTTTTTTAAGAAGCGATCTGTATCACAAATTCATCGTTCAGTCACTCACCCACCCACTCAGTCACACACTCACCCACCCACTCACCTACTGACTCACTTATCCATTCAGTCACTTATCCACTCAGTCACTCACACACCCACTCAGTCACCCACCCACTCCGACATGGTGCTTGACGAAGAGGGTGGGGTGGATTGGGCTCACTGCCCCACCCAGGCTGGGGGGGGGATCCTGTCAGCAGAGAAGTGAAAGTTTACATGGAGGGGGTGGGTGATGGTGGGGACGGTAAGGGTAGAAGATGACTGAGATAGACGAGAAGAAGAGGGGCGGGAGAGAGGTGGGGGATGGGAGGAGGGGAGGATAGCGGCAGGCAGTGCTGGATTAAGGTAGTTCTAGGCCTGTAGTATGTTATAAATGTATCTAAATAAATAAAAAACGTAAATATGAAAAAAACATTTTTAACTTGTATAGTAAAGTAATTGTATTTTTTTCATTTGCTATACAGCCGTATACGACAAATCGCTAACCCAGTCGTTCATAAAAGTTGAAGGTAGTTTAGTACTATAGTAATAGAGCAAGTGCAGAATCACTGAACCGGAATTGATAGTCTGAAAGCTTTTAGCGCGGGGCCCTTGAAAGTGCAGGGCCCGTAGTTTATGTAGCCACTTTTGCTACTAGTGTAGTGGGTCCAAAACGAGGAGAGACGGTTCTTCAGAGGCAACACGTTTATTTAATACAGGGTCCCTTATACAAAGGGGTAACAGTCCCTTTCACCCGATACCTGGGGAGGTACATCCTCCAGGCTATTGTGCCTCTATCACTGGGACCACTTTATATCACAGCCCTCTGGCTAGGGGGACCTAGGGGAGGCTATCTGACCCGACCCAGCCAAGGTCCTCGGGTCCCAGCCACTGGCCCACTCGGTCCCGGCCCTTAGAAGGACGTCGGGTCCGGGGGTTCCCAGGGTCCTATTCTAAGCTGGCTCTTCGGGCCTTCAGCTTGACGACGACTGCCGAACCCGTTCAAGGTTCCGGCTTTTATACCCACTCCAGGGTCTCTCCGCCCCTAGCCACGCCTCCGTTCTGGAACGTTCTAGTGGGCTCTGGAATATCCCCAACCCCTCTATGGGGTCTGGGAACGCTAGTGGCCCAACGGCCCTGTTCATCCCGCCTGGCCTGCATACCACCCCCTGCTGACACATGTCTGCTACTACAGGTAAGTTCCTTCATACAGCATGTCAATGGCACGACACGAGGATAATTCGGCACTGACGGCAGGGAAAGGAAAAGCATAAAAAAAACACGAATAAAATAAAAACTTGTTATTTCACCAGGTAAGGCCCCACTGAGCTGCTGTGTAGCTCTTTTACAGAAGCGACCTGGCCATCACAAATTATTGCAGGTCAAGCAAGTGGCAGATATCATCATCATCACCGTGTGGACATTCATAGCAGCAGCCAGACACTCTAAACGCTTGGTGACGTTGATTCTAAATGTGGAGGGAGAAAAAAACGGATGCCCCTGGAGAAAAATCCACACGACCACGGGTAGAGAGAGAGACATAGACTCCAAATATACAGCAGGCGTTAGGGTCCGGGATCAAACCCACGACCTCCTGCATAGAGTCTAAGAGCCAAACTCTCACCTCGTGCTCAGGAGGAAGATTTTCGTATTGATCAGATGCTTTTCGACCGCCTGTGTGACACAACAACAAATACACAATCACACATCGCCTACTATCGGTAGCAGTGTCACTATGGACATCTTAGCCCACGGGAGAGCGTCACTCGGTACCCCGAGGCCGCATTCATAAGATCAGGGCTCTGTTTTGGATGAGTCAGAATCTCTATGAAGACTGCAGGAGGATGAATCCGACGAGCTGTGAAGCTCTTCACGTGCTGCCCTTGTCCAGCATAGGGGCACGCGGTCGGGAAATTCGCAATGGAAAAAACCGCGACAAACACACGGACGCACACAGCGAACGGCACGAGTGCAACATGAAGAGCATGTGTGGTAAGTCGCAAAATATGAATAAATAAGTAATGAACACGTGACTTGTCATGAGTCTGATTTATCACGCTTGGACAAGGTGACAATCGAAACGACAGAGCCGTCCCAGAGCGCGCACGTGCACACAGACACACAACAACAACATCCGCCATTCGCCACTAAGTGACAGTGACGTCACCACGACGCTTGTGCCAGGCTATGTGCACCTTGAGGCCACGTGAAGTGTCGAACGCCCGCTGTCAGGAGGTCACGGGGCAGACCCAGATGCCACAGGTCGACTGACTGAGAACACTGGCTGATGCACCACCTGTGCCCCCTACTGTGCAAACTTGCTGTGCTTTAGCCACCCGGCGCTCCGCTCGTTGTTGTGAGTGTCGCTCCTCCGCCCTCCGTTGTTGCTGGAGGGCGACTGCCTCCAACTGCCCAGTAGTGTCCTTCACAAGCCTCCTCCACAGAGGCCGATCTTGACACCACTAGTACCAGTCATCGGCAATTCCACTCAGCTCCACATCCACCTGTACCACATCACTCCATCTCTTCTCGAGCCTGTGCCGTGCCCGTTTAGCCCCCTCAATCCGGCCGAACAAAAGCTGTTTAGGCATGCGGTGGCTGGGCATGCGGACTACATGACCCAGCCAACGCAGCCTTGCAAGCCACAGGAGCTCACCGATGGGACTTTGTCCACATCTTTCAAGGATTTGTGAGCTCCTCACACAATCCAGCTTGGTTAAACCCAGGATGGATCGTAGGCAGGCCAGCCTAAATGTTTCTAACTGGCGAAGATGCTCCATTAGGGGAGGTCTACGTTTTACAAGCGTAGATAAGGGAGGGAATGATTGTGGCCAAGAAGACCTGAAGCTTCGTGCGGAGCGATAGACCAGGTAACTTCCATACAGCATTACAAAGACAATGATAAAGATCCCCTGTATAGCCTTAACAGACTGTAGGGGCAAGTGCTGTTAGCGAGCACCTATGAAGGCCAGAACGGTACACGAGGGGGTGGGTGGCCAGCACCACGCCCGACCGCCTTTGTCTCCCCAGTGGCGATGTTTACACACCACTCCAGGTACTCATTTGAGGCTGAGTCGACCTAGGGGAGGCCCGGGACCGGTTCAGATAATCGTCACTGGTGTTGGCCGTGAGCGGGAATCGAACCCGGGTGGCCGGGTTCGTAGCGCATCGCGCTAAACGCTACACTACAGCTCCCCACTGACACAGACACACACACGTGCACACCAAGCGATAGCAAACCACACAGGAGTGGCGGCGCCTCAATAGAATGGCACCTTAACATTCATTATTGGTCAACTTCGATGCAAAGTTTGCGCAGCACGACGCGCGATCGAAGTGCTACGTGGACTCCACCACGAGGGTTTAATTCGCAACAAATCCAAATGGGGCGAGCGAAAATCTGACAATGGCCTGGGTCGTTTCCAAGGGGGCGCACAGGGCTATGGCTGGCAGGGCTATGGCTGGCTGGGGTATGCCACAGCATTGTGTGATGCATAGCAGGCCCAGTAGGTCACTACAGGGGCTTGGAATCGTTACGAATTTATCTGCGGTCTACCATGGACCAAGCACCATTAACGTTCCTGGCTATCCATATCATTAGAGCAGTGCAAAGTTGCGTGATCCAAAGCATCACATAGATACCCCATAGCATCACATGTGTAGTGAGTTCGACTGAATCACAGACGGAGATGTGGAGCCAACACGTTTATGTAACTCCAACACAGGAGGTAACTACCCCTCAACAGAATAAAAACCTATGGTTGTGACCACCAGTCCTGGTCCGTGCTGGTCGGTAGCTAATATGGACCAGGACTGGTGGTCATCCCATAGGTTTTCCTGGTCCGTAGCTACTACGGATCAGGACCACAGCTCAGGTCCAGGTCCACTTTTTCGAGACTCACTGATCGGATAATGTAGAATGTAGTCGAAGGTTTCTAACGGATGAACCACCACCCCCGGTTCCTCTGGGGACCCGGCTCATATTATCTGCAGCGTGGCTGGCTTTGCCCTTGGCCACGACCACCTTCCAGAATCCTCGGGCAGGATCTGGATGCTAACTACGTGACCACCCCTAGCCCCCACTTGGGCCCCTTTGTCGACTTAACTCGTCACGTGTCCTCTCGTGTCAACCAGAGTGCCATGTCCTGTAGGGTTGGCACTGCATGCCAAGCGTGGTGCCATCTAGCGCTATCAATCAGCACTCAACGAGCCCCTCTAGGGCCGGTACTACACCAAGACTCTTGTGGTATCCGCGATGTCGTTACACTGCACGCCGTGCCTCTCTAGGGCCGGCACTGCACAGTGACATCCCGCAATGTCAATACACATTGATACCCATAGCTTCACATAGAGACCCCAAAACATCACACACAGACACCTTAGCATCACATAGAGATCCATAACTTCATATAGAGACCCATAGCTTCACACAGAGACTCATAGTTTCACAAATATACTCATAGCATCACACAGACACACATATAGCTTCAGATAGAGACCTATAGCTTCACACAAAGACTTATAGCATTACATAGAGACAGATAGCTTCACATCGGACCAATAGCTTTACATCATTTTTCCGTGTGTCAGATCCTGCAGAAGACATCGGTATTTCTAGACGGGAAATCGGATCCCCTCAGTCTTGGCTCACCCCTTGGATGGTGGACTCGAGTCGCTCCCTGCCCGCGCCAGGGTCGAGTCTTGGAGGAGAAGTTTGTTGTTTGAACCTGCGACGGATCCAGGCTGTCGTAGACGTTCTCCCTCTGTCCCAGCGCCTCGTACTGCGCCACCTACGGACATCGCGCACTCGGTCAAACCGGGCGGCTCTGGTGGGCGTTAGCACAAGTGGCAACGCTCGTGCCTAGCTTGCAGCAACAAGTGTCGGGGTACGTAAGTGAGTGCGTTTGTCTGTATGTGTGGTGTGGTGTGAGCGATCAGTAGCGTTGTGGTTATCGCGCCACGCTACGAACCTGGCAACCTGAACTGTGACAATTTTCTGAACTAGTCCTGGGCCTCCCCGAGGTCGACTCAGCCTCAAAGGAGTTCCTGGTGTGGTGTGTAAAAACATCGCCACTGGGGAGACAAAGGTGGCCGGGCGTTGTGCTGGCCACCCACCCCCTCGTGTCTCGTTATCCAGTGTTCATAGCTGCTTGCTAATATCACTCTGCACTTTAAGTAGTGTGAGGTGAGTGCACGAGTTCGTCTGCGCGACGATGTGCTAGTGGAGTTTGCATATTCTCCCCTGTCCCTGAAAAAAAAGAAATCTGGGCATGTGGAGTTTTTGCGTGGGAAGTTGGTGAGCTTTAAAACCATGACGCATGCACTTGCTATGGCCGCATTGGGTATGCAGCACAGAACTCATCATAAATGCTGGCTAATGGAAGAGCCATTCCAGCCCGTTGACACTAAGAAGCAGGCCCACTCCCGTCGTCTACAACATCTGGTGTCCAAAAATCAGGAGGCTTACCGCAGACTTCGCCCGGAGGTGCCGGAGAGCCGTGCGGTTGCTGCGAGCATGGGTGGTGAATCTAGATTTGAAGTTTTCGTGACTGAAGGGATCCATACACTTTGGTTCTTTTGGTAAAGTCACGTAGGAATAAAATAAAATAAATTAAATCACGACGTTTTGGGCGCAACACAACCTACCCCACAATCCCCTCTCTATCTCTCCTGCCTGGCTCCTCCCCCCTCTCTTACCTAGAAAGCCTCGTCACAGCAGCCATTTTGCCCACTTCAGCAATTGTTTCTTGCTGTGGTTGTCCCACTTGATGATGGACGCTTGTGTTGCGATCGAAACGTCGTGATATTTTTATTCACTTGATTTTAATTTTCATTATTCTTTTCTATCTATCTACGTGACTTGACCAAAAGGACCAAACAAGGGACGGCTCCCTATTGGTCAATCATATTATGTGAATGACCTGATGATTTCTCCAGACCCTTTACAGAAGTTGGAAATGCTGCTGAAGCTTGAGCCTATTACTAGATATGGGGGGCCCAGTCTCACAAAGACAAAACACCTGAATGGGTATTTTATATCATAAGATTGTCCTATCCCTTCACTCCTCATGAGCGATGGGGTAGTTGTAAAGAGAGTGGAGACGTTTCCGTATTTGGGCAGTGTGGTTATGACCAGCTAAGGTTTTACAGCTGAGGTTTTGTTCCGAATCAGTCAAGTGGCATTGTCTTGTCATCAACTGCATAGCGTTATTTGAAAGCTACCTGGTCTGTCACTCCACGCGAAGCTTCGGGTCTTCTTGGCCACAGTCATGCCCTCCCTTCTGTATGCTTGAAAAACGTGGAGTCCTCCAAAGGAACATCTGCGCTAGTTTTAAACATTCAGGCTGGCCTGCCAACGATCTATCCTGGGTTTAACCAGGCTGGATTGTTAAGAGCTCAAAAATTCTCGAAATATCCTGGCACAGTCCCATCAGTGAGATCCTCTGGCAGGCAAAGCTTTATTGGCTGGGTCATGTAGCCCGCATGACCAGCCGCCACATTCCCAAGCAGCTTCTGTTTAACTGGATAGAGCGGTCTAAACGGGTTCGGCATGGGCTAGAGAAGAGATGGAGTGTTGTGGTACAGGAGGACGTGGAGCTGAGTGGACTTGCCAATGACTGGTACCAGCCGGTGTCAAGATCGGCCTCTGTGGAAGATGCTCATGAAGGACTCTACTACTGGGCAGTTAGAGGCAGTTGCCCTCCATCAACAACGGAGGGCAGAGAAGCAATGCTCACAACAATGAGCGGAGCGACAGGTGGCTTAAACACAGCAAGTTGGCATAGTAGGGGGCAAAGGTGGTGCATCGACCAGTCATCTCGTTCGCCAAAACCCATGGCACCTGGTTGTGTCCCGTGACCTGCCCAACGAAGGCCGGCGACTCCACACTTAAATTCCTATATAAGGTGGTGAGGAGATGTGAATTCCCTCGCCTGGTATGCAGGAGGTCGTGCGTTCGATCCATGTTTAGAGTATCTGGCTGCTGCTATGAATTTCAACCTGATGATGGCATCAGCCACTTTGTTGAAGTGTCATGCATGGCCAAGTGGCTTCTGAAAAAGAGCTACATAGCTCAGTGGGGCCTTACCTGATACAAAAAAATAGTTTATAGTTTAATAGCTGAATCACCTCATCCTCAGGAGGAGGTGGTGGTGATGGTGATGAATCTTCTTGAGCAGCTTCCTGTCGCCTCCCTGTTTAACACAAACGCAATCACACATCGCTAATGGGTGACATAGATAAATGTAGATATTTATCTCAAGGGCGCGCCACTGAATCTTAAAAACTCGTTATCATATTAGAGACACGCTGTCTACGATGAAGAGTGGATTGTATTTTAATGCACCTTTCAAGCGCACATCAATGTGGTGATTTCTGCACTGTGCACTGAACCCAGCGTCTTGTGTTGAGATCTGCATCACGTCTAACATCGGTGGCATTTAGAAACTCAACTTTTGGATCATTTGGCTGCTGCTAAAAAAATTGTGCACTTGAAAATCCACTTCATAAGCTGTCATTTGTGATAGCCAGGGGGTCGCTTCTGAAACCGAGCTAATGGCTCACTGGCCTTTACTTGGTAGAATAACAAATTTTAGTTTTAAGTGGTACCCTAACCAAATCAGTTCTGGGGCCCACTCCTCAAATTAACTGACACACTGACGATCATGGAGAGGTATCGTCAACCAACTCCCACGACTGATAGCGTGGCAAGCCCTTCATCCAGACATGGATTGATGCGTCCGTTGAATTGTCACGATTATTGATTATACGGAGTCATCAAAGCGGCATGTATCAACAAGTCTGTTGCCTTCCCGCCCACGTTATTTCGACTGAAACTTCGCCTCCCACCCAAGCTGCCTGCGTCTGCCCCGCCCAATGACGTTCCCGTCGTTAAAGCGTCAACTGTCAAACATCAGCACGCATCTGGCGTCTATCGCCTCCATATCCCACTAGAAAAAAAGTCACCTATCCACAAACAGCGGCCGAGTCTACCTCATTCCGTCTGTCTACCCGCAGTGACCACACCTTCTTCCTTTAGTGAAACCGGTTGACATGGCCCGTGACACCCGGTTATAGATAGGGCCCAGTGGTAGTGCCTTCGTCACCTGTTGCAGAGGTTCGCCTTAGTCAGTACTGCGGGCACCACGGTAACTGGGAGATCTTAACTCCCTCGGCAGGTATACAGGACGTTGTGGGTTCGATGCCGACCCTGACGCATGCTGTGTATATTTTGATTTTCATCTCTTTCCCCATGGTCACGAGTATTTCTCTTCGAGTCCTCCGTTGTTTTATTCCATATTTAGAATCAATGGCACGCGTTGAGAGAGTTATTTGGCTGCTTCTCTCCATTTCCACGTTATATCAGCCATCCGCTACGTTGAGCAGCTATCGTTTGTGACAGCCAGGTCCACTTCTGAAAAAGAGCTACATAGCTCCGTGGAGCCTTAACTTGTTAAGAAATAAGTAATACTAAAAATACTTTTTTTAAACACGCTTTAATGAAATGTACCATACGAGTAATGGCAGAACTCCACGACTCCAGAAAGTGGCCCTGAAGCTTGCCATAACGCAAGGGACCGTGGTGATTTACAGCCAACGTCAGTTGAGCGTGGACAATTAGACCTAAGCCGAAACATAACATATACAAATATTGCTTACAACTATATATTTTATTTTTTAATGATAAAATATAGTATTGTCATCAGTATGACAAATGTATACCAAGTTTGCAGTCGATACGACATTGGGAAGTGGGTTAAAATTGAGTTACAAGATTTGAGGATACGTCAACAACAGAGTGAGTTAATAAAAAGCGTGTAAAAGAATGTTTTAAAATGTTTTTATGATAGAATATACTGTAGTATTGTCATCAGTATGACATAAGTATACCAAGTTTTCAGTCGATACCACATTGGGAAGTGGGAAAAATTTAGTTACAAGATTTGAGGATACGACAACAGAGTGAGTTAAATAAAAGCGTGTAATAATAATAAAAAATAATACTCCAGGTGTATTCACCGTGACGTACTACACGCCGTGGGCTTCACGGCAGATGCAGAGTAATAGCGCTAGCTGTTGATGGAAAGTGGTAACTGCAGCGTATGGCAGTACACACGTCAGCAGGCGACAGCATACACGGTAGTGGGTGGTGTGTGTAGGGTCCTGAGTGTGTAGTGTGTATAGTAGTGTGTGTAGTAAGGCCGTAATTATAATATATATTGGGGGGGGGGACACATTCCCCCCCCCCATATTCAAATATGCTCAAAATGTCCCCCCTCAATATATTGCTATCAAAAATAATTGCTATGCTATGTAAATAAAAACAACAATTTTCTAGACCTTGGCCACAATATCTGGACTTGTCTTGATATACATCAATGCGTAGATTTCTGTTAATATGATTGTGGTTATGGTTGTACTTTATTAATCCCTAATCTCTGCCATTACATACAATGAAACAAGAAATGGTAAAACAGTTAAAACAGAGCAATGTAATACAATACCCTATTAAACATGATTGTAAAAAAGATAATAAAAAGTCCATCCCATGTGTCAGTGATTTGTTTTTATATTTTAGGCAGCAAATTGTTGACTCCATGGCTACGGCCTTGGTGTGTAGTGTAGTATGTAGTGTGCGTATTGTGTATAGTGTATTTATTGTGCAGTGTATGTGTGTAGTGTGTATAGTCTGTGTTTAGTGTTTGGTGTTGTGTCCAATGTGTGGTGTGTGTAGTGTTAGTGTGTATTGTGTGTAGTGTATGTTTTGAGTAGTGTATGTGTGAGACCAGGAAAAACACGGGGCAGAGATGATCTCCCAAGCAAAATGCTGAGAAATGATGATGTTTCTGCGCAGACTGCCCTACATGACATGCATGGGTTCCGCAGGAAATGAAAGGATGCTCTGGTGGTCCCCTTCTGTAAGAAGGGGGACCGTACGACTGTAGGGGCATCTCACTCCATGCCAGGACCTTTCCCGGCACAACATCGCCTTGCTAGGCACCCTGAGGAGAGGCTTGCATAGCCTCAATGTGGTGTCAGGCCAGGGCGGCCTTGCACAGATGCCATATTTTTGTCTGTCTGCTACAGCGTAGGTGTAGGGTATTAAAACAGGACCTACACCTCTGCTTTATGAACCTGGTCAAGGCTTATGATACCATCAGTATGCCTGGGCTGTGGGTTGTTCTTCGTGCTTTTAGAGTACCTGACTCTCTGCTCACGATCATTAAGGACCTTTATGATGGTAGGCAGGCCCGGTTTTCGACCACGTAGTTCGAGAAGCCTTCCATGGCTGTACTTAGGAATCTCCATCTGGTAGAGGTGGAATGGGAGGCTGATTTATGCCAGGGTGCGGTCAAGGAATTCCTCTGTTTTGGTAAACCATGTTACGTATGCTGATGATGCGGTGATTGCTGCTCAGTCAGAGGAGCAGTTGGAGGCGCTGCTTTTAGCCCCATCAAAAATGAGCACCTGCATGGGTATTTTGTGCGATCAAACACTCCACTCCATCTACTCCCCATTGGTGAGGGTGCGGTTGTGACGAAAGTGGAGAGTTTTCCATACCTGGGCAGTGTGCGTATAACCAGCTCCGGGAGTGGTTATGTCGTGGTTACTTTACTTTGACATCGCCACTGGGGAGATAAAGACGGCTGGGCGTGGTGCTGGCCACCCACTACGTGTGCCGTGCCGGCCTTCATATGTGCTCGCTAACAGCACTTCCCCCAAAGGTCTGTTACAGGCTATACGGGGAAATCGTTGTCTTTTTACTGCATGTGTAGGTCTAGGTCGACTCAGCCTCAAATGAGTACCTGGTGCCGTGTGTAAACATCGCCACTGGGGGAGACAAAGGCAGCTGAGGAACGGTGCTGGCCACCCTTCCTCTGTGTGTGCCACAGTGCCGGCCTTCATAGGCGCTGCTGCTACTCACTACGAACAACAATTGCCCCTATCACCTTTGTGGCGGTGGTAAATGATGAGGCATGCGATCACGATGAGCATCAGGATGATGAGAACAGGGGACCAGTAGATGTAGTGCTGAGTACTCGGGCCATCATCCCCTATGAAGACAAACAAGATGTCCAAACACGAAACAGAAACCTTTTACAAGTCATCAAGTCACTGCATTAACCACACGCAGTAATTGCGGTGATCATTAAAAAAAAACACGCTCTGGTAATATACAATACATTGTCTTTGAAACTGATTGGTCTGGTGCGGTGTGTAAACATCGGCACTGGGGGTGACAAAAGCAGCCAGGCGTGGTGCTGGCCACCCGCCCCCATCGTGTGCCAAAGTGCCGGCCTTCATAGGTGCTACTCGCGAACAGAACTTGCCCCTACAGTCTGTTAGAGGCTATACGAAGCTTTGTTAGCGTGTGTGTGAAGGCGTGAGTGGAGGGGGGTGTAGTGTAGTAGCGGTTAGCACTGCCCTGCGCGAGACCCGAGTTAGACTCCCACTCACGACATATAAAGGGCCCGAAAATGTCGAACTGGTCCCTGCATCCTCCCCCCTAGGTCGACTCAGCCTCGAATGGTCACGGTCTCCGTACCGGGCACCGCTGCAATCACCGTCAGGACGTCGCTCCTCTTCGTCGTCGTATTTGCCCCGTCCACTTTGTTGTTGACCTCACAGGCGACCGCGTCGCCATGACGAGCGTCGTGCAGGGTCCACGTCTCCGTGTGGACCCCGGTCGCTGTGAGGTTCCCCCCTGAGCTCGCGCCCCCTGAGCCACGTAGTAGATGGGAGAGAGCCCTGGTGCACGACGCAGCGCAGAGACAGGGAGCCTCCTGCCACGGGGTGACGGGGGAAGACCTCGGGCTTGGACACGGCCTCTGAGACACACGGACACAGAGAGAGATGTGGAGATTACTAAGTGTTCAAGTGTCGTCTATAGTGTAGTGTACAGTATTGTATAGTGTAGTGTATAGTGTAGTGTATAGTGTAGTGTGTTGTATAGTGTAGTGTATTGTGTATATAGTGTAGTGTATAGTGCAGTATATAGTAGTATTTAGTGTAATGGGTTCAACTGAGTTTCAGACGTAGACTTGGAGGCAACACATTTATTAAAGTCCAACACACGGGGTAACTTTCCCTTTGCAGAATAACAACCTATGGTGGTGACACGAGGTTAACTACACTAGTTACAACATAACTGTTACTACGGACCTGGACCAACAGCTTGGGGTCGGGTACACGTGTTGGAGACTCGTTGAACGGAGAACATAGACGAAGGTTTCTTCCAGGATGAACAACAACCCTGGTCCCTCTCGGGACGGCTTATTTCTCTCCGGCGTGGCCTGCTCCGCCCTTGGCCACGATCACCTTCTAGAA